AGGGGAACTCCATGGGAAACAGCCTGAAGCAAGCACTGATGTTCCCTCCCTCAGCTGGGAGACACACTGCCTTCCTGCAGTGCCATTTCTCCGATGAGACAGAGTTTGGTCTAAACAATTCTGTTTCTACAAAATTCCATGATTTTGTAGAATCATGGAATCATTTAGGTTGGAAAAGACCCTTAAGAACATCGAGTCCACCATTAACCAAACACCGGAAAGTCAACACATTATGTCCCTTAGACCATGTCTTTCATATACCTCCAGGGATGGTGACACAGCCACTTCTGCAGGCAGCTTGTTTCTTGTCCCCATCATCTGACAGGACAGGCAGACCAGGCCAGGCTGGGATCTCCTTTATCCCTGCTGAAGGAAGTGATTCAGCCTGGTCAGTTGAGGCATCTGGGGTTGTAGCCATGGGGCTGGAAGGGGACTCAGCTCCCTCCCATGAACACCACAAACCCACAGGAGGTCTCACTTCGTCAGAAGGTGAAAATGCATCGTTATATTGATGATGTCTTAATCAGAGGAGATTGCCACACAGAGGCAGGGGAAGCAGCAACAGCAATGTGGGAAGCACTACATGATGTCAAAGTTCCACCTGAGCAATGTCAGAAACCAAGTAGAAACCAGCAGATCAACACTCCCACCCAATTTGGGGTTGTCCACAAATGTTGTCAGCTTATTTGGGGCACCCCCACTCGGGAGCGGGGGTGTTTGGTGGGGCCCCTCCAGGATTTTCGGTCCTGAGTTCATTTGAGGGGGCCCGTGGTGATGGTGGGTTCAGTTCACTTTTGGGAGGCTCCAGCCCCCCCTCATTTGGGGGTCCTGCCTGCTCGAGTGCTGCTTCAAGGAGATTTGGGGTTACCCCAAGATTTCTGGGGGCACCACAATTGCTTTGGGTGTCTCCAGGGTCCTTTGGGGGGGCAGTGTGGTTTTGGGGTGCCCCTTTATTGAGGTGCCACTTTTGGAGGGTCCCCCCCTCTGTGCCCCTGAATTCACTACTGAAACCAAAGCAATGTTGGGGTCCCCACTGTGGATTTGAAGTCCCACAGCATTTTGGGGGATCCCAGGTCAGGTGCTGGGGGGACCCCATTTTCAGACCACCCCTTCTTCAGGGGGCTCCTGGCTGCTGCTCTGAGCTGGGGCTGCTTTGGAGCTGCAGGGTTTGGGTTTGGGGAGATTTGGGGGTCCCCACTGGGAATTTGGGTGCGGGGGGACTGGGTTCGGGGGTGCCAGGTTCTGGGGTCCCACCTGGCTTCCAGGTGCTTGTGCAGAGCCCCAAGAGCCTCTTCAGGTGCTCCTTGCACAGCTCCTTCAGGTCCCGGGGCTGCAGCTGCAGCAGCTTCACGTCGACCTCGTGCTGACGCAGCTCCTGCAGCAACTGCGGGGACACCTCTGGGGGGGGGGAAGTGCAGGTGCCAAAGCTCCCCGGGGGCAGGAATCTGGGAGACCCCCATGTCCCTCAGTGGAGGCAAGGGACCTTTGTCCCTTGCACCCTGAGTCTCACTGGATGCCCTGTGTTTCCCCATGGCAGTAAGTGGGGGGAATTTGAGGGTTCAGAGGAAGATTTGGGGATTCAGGGAAGTTCTGGGCTTTAGGGATGTCCTCAAGACTCTCTGGGTTTGCAGGGATTTGGGGAACCCCTGTCTCCTGAAAATGAAGGGTATATTTGTCCCAAGGCACCTGGGGCATCATGTGCTCCCTTTGCCATAAATGGGGGGAATTTGGGGCTTCAGAGGGATTCAGGATTTCATGAGGGGTCTCCAAAATTCCCCATAGTGGGCACAGTAATTTGGGATGTCCCCCCATGTTCCACAACATGGTGGTGTACATCTATCCCAGGGTACTGCGAGTCTCTCTGATGCCCCATGTTCCCCAGTGGTGATGCATTGGAGGAAGAGAACCTGGGGGTTCAGAAAGGACCTGGAGGCTCAGGAGGGATTCTGGGGTTCAGGAATCTCCCCAGAACTCCCCAGGGGAAAGCAGGGATTTGGGGGACACATCCATGTCCCAAAAATAGGGGTACAGTTGTCCCAGGGCACCCTAAGTCTCTCTTCGGTGCCCCATGTTGGCCAATGGAGGTAAATGGGGGTACCCATGGGAACCTCATGAGGAGGTTCTCAAACTCGGTGTGGGGGAGGGGTGAGAGTAATCTGGGGGACCACCATAGCCCTCAAACAGGAGCTAAAGACACCAGAAACCACCCCACAGATCATTGGAGAGGGGGAACTGGAGATCTGGAGGGACCCATTATTATTATTATTATTACTACTAATAATAATAATAATGTTGCTATTATTATTAATATTAAAATACTGTGCTTGATTTCAGTTCCTGATTTGCTCTCATCTTCACCTACGGGCTTTGCGTTGTTCCCATTCTCCTCCCCATCCCACCCAGGTGCTGAGCAAGCGGCTGTTGGTGCTGAGTTCCCGGCTGGGTTTCAACACTGACCCTGTCCTGGCCCCTTGGCTGTGGCAGCAGGGGCTGGGTGTTAGCACTCTTGGAGCTGGGCTCTTTGCATGGGCACGCAGCTGGAAGCAGCATTCTTTGGCTCAGGAAGCGCAGCTCCCGAGTGTTGCTGGGGCTGGGGCAGTGCTTGCCAAGGGCAGGGGAGGCCCAGCAACAGCTCCTGTCCTGGCCCTGTTGCTTGGGAGCACAGGGGCTCCCGTGGGCATTGCCGCAGTCAGGATTGCACAGGTGTGCCCAGAGCCCACCAGCTCCTTCCCACCTTGCGCAATGCCCGGTGGGCTTCCGTGCCGTGCCTGCACCTGCCAGGGCCTTTGTCACCTTCCAGAATGCATTGCCAGAGCCCAGCAGAGTACTGGAGCTTTCCGCAATGCCCAACACTGTCCTGGCCTTTACCAGAGACCACCAACACCCCTCCTGCATTCCACAATGCCCGGTGGGCTTCTGCAGGCCTTGCCAGAGCCAGGCAGGTCCCTTGTGCTGAGCTGCCAGTGACAGCACCAGCAGCTGCACTGCCCAGGGGCTGCTCCTGCCCTGACACCTTCTCAGCACCTAGGACACCAGCAGCTCCTGCACACAGAAGGCTCCTGCTTTGCACCCACAATGTGTTTCAAGCCACTCTAAAACAGGATTGCAAAGTCAAAGAACACGTACCTGCATGGGCAGGGCAGCCATGGGAGATGCAGCCTCCAGAGGGAGGGTTCTCCTCTGCACTGGTTACTGCAGGGCTCTCGCTCCTTAAATAGCCCGCGCTCACCGTGGGGCCCCATCACAATGAGCAAATCCACAGCGACTGCCACGGCTTTGTGATGGCGGCAGCATAGTGCTCATGGCCACTGGGCACCCAGCGGTTGGGACTGCGTGTGCTTTAAGGTCCCTTCCACTCCAAACCAGGCTGTGACTGTGTGACTGTAAAATACAACCTGCATTTGGCTGCAGAACATCTCTCAGCACTGAGTCAGGCCCAAGATCAGGCGCAGACATTTGTGCAGCAGAGCCCTTCTGCAGCCACTTCTTGGCTCTTGTTGTTTGCTGGCAGCTTCCAAAGGCAGTTGTGCCTCTGCCGGAGCCAGAGCAATGGCCCAGCCCGTGCTGTTCTGTGTGGAGCGCTCCTATGGCACCATCAAGTGAGTGCAGGGCTCGGCAGCACTGGCAGGAGAAGAGCTGTGGGGCCTGACCCTGCTCCCGGGGCAGATGCGGGTGAGCTCCAGCACTTGGTGTTTCTTGGCAGGAACCTTTGGCTCCAGCTTCCCTTCCACCTGCACTGCCTCCATGACACTGGACTGGGATCAAGTGGGATGGAGTGGTATGGAGCCAGGATAGAACCGGGATGGAGCCAGGATAGAGGGGCATGGATCCGGGAAACAGCAGGGTGAGTGGGGCTGTGGCAGGGATTGTGTGAGAAGGGAGGACTCTGGGTTCGGATTGAGCTGGGGGGCAGGGGGTCGAGAGCAGTGATGCAGTGGGGTGAGGTGGGCTGGGCTGTGCTAGGAGAGCACAGGAAGAGGGGCCTAACCCAGCAGGGGAAGTGCAGGCAGGGATGGAGCCCACTAGGGCAGGGGCTGGCCATGCTGGGGATGGCAGCAGGACCATTGTGCCCCAGCAGGGCTGGGATCTCAGGAGGCTGAACCGACGTCCTGTGCTTTTGGTGCAGGGACGCCAAGAGCAGGCAGCTCCTTGAGGAAAGCTGCTCACTGCCCCTTCGCACCAGGTAAAGATCTGGTCCCCCCACCTTGTGTGTCCCGTGCACACTGTGGGTGTGCAGCCCAAGAAAGTTTGGCTGAGAACTGCTCCAGTCCTGAACCAATGTTTTGGGTAACATAGCCAAGGAGATGGGTACCTGCAGGTAGCACTGTGACTTATCTCAGCACAGTCCTAGAGAGAGCACGAACTAAGCAACCCCTCCCGTGCTGAATCAGCACTGTCTGAATTGATGAATAGTGTAAGAGATGTGTCTGGAGGATTAAAAGTTTTGTTACAGAAGGAAATACTTCCAGTGCAGACATGTTTCCTGGCCCTGAGTTCCTAAGATCTGGAGTACATAGAATCATAGAACAGTCAGGGTTGGAAAGGACCTTAAGATCATCTAGTTCCAACCCCCCTGCCATGGGCAGGGACACCTCACACTAAACCATGTCACCCAAGGCTCTGTCCAACCTGGCCTTGAACACTACCAGGGATGGAGCATTCACAGCTTTCCTGGGCAACCCATTCCAGGGCTCACCACCCTTATAGTAAAGAACTTCTTCCTTATATCCATCTTTGTGTACTGTAAAATGTTATTGTATCCAAATGTAATTTGGCATTCTTGAATTGTGTGACATGATAATGACTATGTAAATGATGATAAGTCATGTTTGGCACCTGTTTGGTAGGTATGTTCTTAATGCGTGCAGAAGCTGAGATAAGCGTAAGCAATGGTTGTCTTTCTTTAGCCCTTTGCAGGAGATCTTGTGTCTATTCAGATGGCTGCAATGAAACAAGAGGCTGGCTCCAATGTGTCATTAGGGTAGAGAGGCTTCCCTGGGACTCCCTCCTACCATGTAGCACTGACGTATGATGCTAAACCTGTTTCCCTGGAACACATAGGAACCAGACTTGGGCAAGGAAGGTCAAAGTGAAATGAAAGCACCAGTGCTCATCTCAAGCTTTGTTCACAGTTCTGCAACAGGAGAGTAAGCTGGAATTGGGATGGTTGTTAGGACCTTGATCCTTTCCAATGTGAAAATCATGCCATGAAGAACAACACTTTGAAGAATCTGGTGTTCTCTCTTTGAAGAGAAACAAATGAATCCAGGAATCCCATTCAAAGACCGTATCTCTCAATGCATTCTTCTGTTCAGAAACATTATTGTCTGCTTTTTTGTTTTTCTTCTTTCCAGAGCACTGTGGAGAAAGTGGCAGCTGTCTCTGTCCCAGTTCCTCAGGTGATCCCCCTTGGAATCCCTCTTCCAGGGAAGGCTAACCATGAAGTAGACACAAATGCTCTTCTAGAAATGAAATCAGGTCTGAATGAGAGCTTTGAATCCAGGTAAAAACTTCTCTTACGTGTTTATGTGAAACTTTGAGCCTCAAGACTTTTGTTTGTGTTTCATGATGATTTTTATGAGGGTGCATTTCCTTAAGGATATTAGAAAATTAACCAACATGTTTTGATTCACCAACTCTACTTGCACTTAACTTTATGCATTCAAACAATATTATTGACATATGAGTTATTTCATGCATGGCAGCAGTCTTGACTGCTTCCAGATCAAGCTTTTAAGCTGTTGCATTTTGCTTTGACTGAAAAAAACAGTGCATGAAAGTATAGTATATTTTATCAATTTCTCATCTACGTCCTCTGTGGATCATTGGCCTTCACTCCCAGCCGAGGATATAAACATCTGAGGCTGAGGGAGCTGGGCTTGTTCAGCCTGGAGAAGAGAAGGCTTCTCATGTAGAGAACTTAGCAAAGCTCCCAAAGCCTAAAGGGGCCGCAAGAAACCTGTAGAGGGGCTTTGCACAAGGGCCTGTAGGGACAGAACAAAGGGAATGGCTTTAATCTGACAGAGGGGAGACTGAGATGAGCTCTTAGGCAGAAGTTCTTTCCTGTGAGGGTGCTGAGGCAGTGGCACAGGGTGCCCAGAGAAGCTGTGGCTGCCTCATCCCTGGCAGTGTTCAAGGCCAGGTTGGACACAGGGGCTTGGAGCAAGCTGCTCTACTGGAAGGTGTCCCTGCCCGTAGGACAGGGCTGGGAGTTGGAGCTGGATGAGTTTTAAGGTCCCTTCCAACCCAAACCAGTCTGGGATTCTGCAATTCTGTGATTTTGTTCAATACCTTTAACACTGGAGCTAATTCTTAAATGATGTGAAAAATGAATCACAGATTCCTTCAAGTGCCAGATATGTTAGTAAGGGTAAGACTGGAAAACTAAATTGTGTTTTCTTCTCCAGTGTCAGGAAACATTACCAAATGCAGGCTCCTCTTCATGCTGCAACAACAACCAGCGCATCTCCAGGACTTGTATATGCATCTTGTTCCAGAACTAACTAGCGCAGTTAGTTAGGAACTACTGCTTGTGTCATAGCTGCCTCCAACCTGGAACGGTGGCAGGTGTGGTCATATACGTAAGAGCAACCAGTTTTTGCAGTGATGCCTGTAACTGTCTTTTCTCTGGCTTTTTAATTCTACTGAAAACTAACTTAGTACCTTTCTGGCCTAGTTTTAGTTGTCAGTAAAGTCACTCTTTCCAGTTGTCTTCGTATTTTCTCAATAGCCTTTGATCTGTAAGTCAGTACCAGCAGCTGTGGCTATCAGCTGCTATGTTTCTAGTGACTTTGCTGCTGCAGACTCTAACCAGGAAAATACTGAAAACCTCTTGATAGCCTTAATGACATGATGTGATGTGGCTTTTTCTTCAGATGGCACCATGTCTTGAGTGCAGACATCTGCTGCCAGTGAATACACCCACTTGCACTGGACGTGAGTCACCAGTAGCTCCACAGGTGCATCCCCAGACCAACATCTGCATAAAGGTAATTGAGAATAAATCTAACAGAAGAGCAATTTACCTCCTGGCGTGCATGTTTCTAACAGGTGACTTCATTAAAAGTAGCTTGATCCAGCTTGGGTTTCTCTAATTACACTGTGACAGCTTTAAGTGTTAGTAGGATTCCAGCCACCTTGACTAGAAATAAGCATTAAAGGTAAACCACATAAGCTCAGGAAGGCCTCTTGAAGAGCACAGGAGGTAGCAGTTTGAAAGACAGGACACGTGCCCTTGTGTTCAGTAGGGAGATATTCTGTGATTCTATCATTTATGGTGTTTTACTGAGCATTTTAAGTTTATTAAATACATGCTCATTACTCTGCTTCACTCAGTTGATTGTAAGTGCTTAGGACAGACAGGCTGGCAGGACTGGGGCAGTGGGGAGATGCCCAAAATACTCTAGCGCATCATTAGTCAGTGATCCAAAAGTGCTAGTGGGCTTAACTAACCAAAATCTACCCTCCAGAATACTCCCTACCTCAGGGCATGAGGACCTAGGTAGGGGCCATCCTCAACCCTTCCAGTCAGAGGAAAGGGTGTGAGAAGGAGATACACAATTTGTTTTAGTTATTTACTGTATAGAAATATCAACCAAGTTGGCTTTACTGTGCCTTTTTGCTTTAGTGTGCTTGTTTAATCCACTGTGCATGTTGTACAGCGAGTGTGTGATCATTTTGTTGAGTACCCTGCCTGTCAGCAGAACACTTGTGTACCCAGCAACCTCCCTGCCTCTTTTACAGACATCAGGTCCTGCTGCATTCCCCAAGGTGGAACTGGACGTCTACAGAAAAGAGGCTCCCATGTACACGATGGAACCAAAAGCAGCCTTGGAGGAGACAAAGCAGGGAAGCCAGGGCCAGCAGACTGCCGCCCAGGCAAGGTAAGGCAGCCTGCCCACCTCTCCTCCTCTGCTTCGCAACTACCAGCCTTTGAGCATCCCCACCTTCTGTTGGGGCTTCTGAGAGCACACGACCACCTTAGCGCAGTGACCAGCCACAGGACAGCAGGCCTGCTCTCCTTCCTTGGCCCAAAGCTGAGCAGAGGGAGGCCCAGGAACACATCTTTGCCTCTCATCTTTGCTCAGCTTCTAAAACCCCTTGAGGGACGTTTTTTATCTGCCCCTTAGCTCTGTCTCTCTTGCCTTTATCTTCCTCCCGAAAAAGAGGAGAGATGCCAGTCAGTACTGCAGCAGACCACTAGCCACATCATAATAACACCAGAGATTTCATGTGTGCTGCTGGGACAGGAGGACTTTAGCCAAAGGTGTTGTCATGGTTTAGGACAGCCGGTAACTCAGAACCACGCAGCTGCTCACTCACTCTCCTTCCTGTTCTCCTCCCGGCGGCTCCCAGAGGGAAGGGGAGGAGAATGGAAAGAATGTAAGTCCCATGGGTTGAGATAAGAACAGTCCAGTAGCTCAGGTATAACACAAAACCACGACTGCTACCACCAATAATAATAATGATAACGATAATGGGAGTAACAAGGAGAGAGAACACAATTGCTCACCACTTGCCGACCAATACCCAACCTGCCCCGAGCAGGGATCTGGACCTCCTGGGTGACTCCCCCCAGTTTCCCCTGGGGTGGCTGCGGGGGTCTCTTTGCCCCTCTGCGGGATGGAGCGATGTGGGAAGGCAGAGAGAAGGGCAGCACGTGACCACGCTGGGGAGTGTCACAGACCTGGTCACAAAGGGCCCCGCTGTGACCCCACCACCAAGAGCAGGAGGCGTGGGGCATCCAGTGCAGGCTGGACCTGGCGCTGGGATAGTGCCTGTGCCAGGAGCTGTCCTGCTCTCGGGATCCTTCTCTGCAGCTCTCTTTGTTCCCAGCCTGGATGTGCTGGGCTTCCTCCATCTGCCATGGCCCTCAGTGGGGAACGGGGACATTGCTGGATCTGCTGCTGCACACCTGAAGGGAAGTGGACTTGGAGCTGTGACTCCTTCTGCTTCACAGGGGAATGGTTCAGAGAAGTCATCCTTGTGGGGATAACTGAAAGGGCCTTATTAATGACCAATGGTAATTGATCAGGGACAGAATTAAAATCAAATGGGAATCCAGTGATATAGCATTAATTGAATTTTAATTCAACTGTGAATTCACAATGATTTGAAGATGATGTAGATGATAATTTAGAGGATGACTTAGAGAATGAGTTTGCCTTCCAGTATCTGATATCTACAAGACATCTGGAGGGGGATTCTTTACAAGGGCATGTAGTGATCAGACAAGTGGGAATGGCTTTAAGTTAACAGAGGGGGGTGAATGAGACCTTAGGAAAAGTTCTGTGGGACACTGTCACAGGCTGCCCAGAATTATATCTGTGCAGCAGAGGGTCTTTCCTGGTTCAAGGCATGCAGAGAGGCAGCTCTGCCCAGATTTACCACTGATTTAATATAGGTTTCATGAGAAGGAGAGAACTGCTATTGAATAAGGGTCAGGACTGATAAAATGCTCCCTGCTTGTGGCAAGATTGGAGTAAAAAAACTCAATAATGCCCTGGTTTTCCACATTTGGATGGGATTTTGTCTGCAGTGACCCCTAAAGCATGCCCAGAGCATCCTCAGGACCCACAGAGCATCCTGTGGATACCCCTAGAGAATCCCAGAGAGTGCCTGCAGCACCTCCAGAGCACCTCATGGACCAAACCAGAGCTCATGCATCACAATGACCTTGGGGACATGGGGACCACAGGGGTGGCTGATTCTGGAACTCTCTGTGTTCAGGTGTGTGAGGCCATGGAACTCCATTCAACCCCTCAGCGGAGGCACCAGGAGATGACAGCTGCCACACGGAACACAAGCTGCCGGTGGAGGAGGCAAGAGCAGCTCCTCTGCTGGTTCCCATCTTGGTGTCTTGGAGCTGGTGACGCCTGTGGACACAGGAGCGTGGAACGAGGTGGGTGGTGATGGCGATCTTGGGGTGCTTTAGGAGTTGCAAGAACACTTCAAGTGACTTCCCCAGAGTGGCTGCTTTGGACTCGGTGTGCGAGTTGTGCTGGCTGAGCCGGCAGCGGAGCGCTATGGGTGCTGATGGGAGATCCTGGGATCTGGCCTCATTTCTTGTGTGGAGAAGCAGGGCCTGTGGGGATGGGACAAGGGGAAACAGCTTTAACCTGACAGAGAGGGGAGGTAGAGATGAGATCTTTGAAGTTGTTCCATGTAAGGGTGGTGGGACACTGGCACAGGGTGCCCAGAGAAGCTGTGGCTGCCCCATGGCTGGCAGTGTTCAAGGCCAGGTTGGCTGGGGCTTGGAGCAAGCTGCTCTAGTGGAAGGTTTCCGTACCTGTGGCAGGGTTTGGAGCTGGATTAGCTTTAACATCCCTCCCAACCCAAACCGTTCCGTGCTTCTGTGACACCCTCAAGTCCCCAGGGCTGCTGGGTGGCAGGAGCTACCCCTCAGGAGCTGTGCGCTAACGTCTCCTTTCTCCTGCAGGCCACACACTCGCTCCCTGCTGCTCTGCTGACCTCAGGCCGGCGTCAGAGAGACTCGTCTCAGCCATGGGCTGCACCGTGTGTCTGACAGTTCCACCGCTGCAGGTTGGCAGAGCTGGCATCTGGGAATACAGAACTGCTCAGCAGGAAGCAGCCACCCTCAGTTATGCTTTCGATGGAGCCAGCACCACTGCTCACCCTACGAGAACCACGTGAGGTTCAACAATGAACTTCTTGCTGCAGATAGTGCTGCAGCGGGGGGACCACTGGCTGTACCGCTTCAGGTCCCAGCTGGAGGCCAAGGGCTGGTTGCAGCTGCACGTTGTGGGTGAGTGATGAGATAGAAACCTTCCTCCTCCATAGCCAAAGAGCTTGAAGGTGCTCTGGGTCTGAGACCTTGTTACATATGCAATAGGTTACACAACATGCCTATACATATTCATATCCTTTCCCCACTTCATATTATAATGAGCTAAAGCTTCCTTCACGCCTGCGCAGTGCCTCCTGGTGGTCGTGGGCAGGGGTCTCGAGATGAAGTAAGCGAGTCTTCCTGACTTTTCACCTCTGTGGAGACAGTGTTCTCACGGGAGAATGGATAATTGGTACATAAACTCTGAATAATCCTGAAAGATACAGCAAGGCCGTGAGAGGCCCAAGGAAGCTTAAGCAAGCAAGATAAGAAGAAGCTAGAATTCACTGAGGTAATGAGAACTGTTGGACTGTTGGCAAGCTTTTGAGGTCAAGTTCCCACACCTGTGCTTAACCAATTATATGCTAGTTGCAAAGGGTCTTCAAGACATGTATCCAATCATAATATGCCAAATCACTGTAAGTGGATGTAAGAAATAGTATTTAAGGGGTTAAGGCTTTGTAATAAATGGCTTTTTGTCTGATCATATTGATCTCTGACTGAGTCCATATATTTTCTGCAGCACACCTCCGTCTTGCACGCATGCTCAGTAGTCCCCTGGCTTCAGCTCAAACCACAGCTCCAGTCTCAGCTGGGTCTTAACCAGATGCATGGTGTTGCAAGTTCAAACTTTGACCACCAGTTCCCCTTATCTGATGTTCTTTCCTTTCTTACAGAAGTTTACATTAAACATCAGCTGCACTTTTAGACAAATACTTATTGTTAACTAAAGGGATTGAGGATAATCAGAAGAATAACATAGGTTTAACGTTCGGTTATTAATTCAGGCCCCCTATCAGTGCTGTGCTGTGCTGTGGTATGCTGTGCTGTGCTATGCTGTGCTATGCTAAGCTGGGCAGTGCTATGAGGTGCTATGCTATTCCATTTTAATCCCTGCACTGACCATTAGTCACACAATGAGCCTGTTATTTGCCTGAAATGTCAGACATTTTTTCAGCTCCATAATCATTTTTAAGGACACACAATGGTTCCAAGTGGAAAAAGGATTTGATTTAATTTCATTTGTTTAATTTCATTTCATTTCATGTTCGGAAAATATTTCTCACGTTGAGGGTAGTGAGACAGTGGCAGACCCTTACCCAGAGAAGCTGTGGCTGTCCCATCTGCAGCAGTGCTCAAAGGCAGGAGGTTGGACACAAGGGCTTGGAGCAACCTGCTCTAGTGGAAGGTGTCCCTGCCTGTGGCAGGGATTGGAGCTGGATGAGCCTTAAGG